GAATACCTCGCGACGCGGAATCCTGCCGCCTTTACTGGAACACTATTTTCCCGCACTGCTGGACCCCTCATCTAAGACCCTAGTATGGGGGGCTCCACCACTTGACGACATTGGGAAGATGAGGGATCCCGTTCTTGGTGGCAAGCGACTCATCTAATCACCCCTAGGCATTCGAAAAGTACACCCCCTCTTCACCCGACTTCTGTACGACAAGCATTGTAATTCTACTAATACAATTATTCCTCAACATAGACGCAAGCCTGTATATAAGAGCAGCAAGGTGCAGCATAGAGCGAGCTGTCAACTAGGACAGCAGATTTTGAAAGCACGAGCAAAGAGACTTCGCATACGAGACACGCGCCAAGATTGCAACCACACATCCTCCCGTACCCTCGGCACAAACATCCTCCTACTAAGCATACCCTTGCACGCTGCCTGCACACCTGTGCGGGATGACCGGCTCTGCCTGCCGCGTGCATCCAGCGCGAGTCTGCAGACAAAATGCGGGAGCTCATATGGGGAACTGGCCCTCGAGCTGTCTGTCCGCGCCCATCTGAATATTAGCACTCAGAACATCGCATACAGCGCGCGCGCACACACACGCCGCCAATCTCGGCTGGCGAAACAGCAGGGAAGGCACTCACGGAACAGCGATGCCGAGCTTGACGAGGCCCTCCTTGGCGGCCTCGTTCCGCGCGGCCTTCTTCGTGCTCCCTCGCCCGCGACCGAGGCACTCGCCCTCGACCATCGCGCGCACGACCCAGATCGGCGTCGTCTTCGTGCCCTCGCCCGCGCTGTCCGAGTACACCCACTCGACGTTCTTGCACTGCTGCTGCAGGTGCTGGTTGAACAGCGACAGGTGCCCGATGCTCGCCGGCATCCGTGGCGGCGGCGGCGTCGACCACGTCTGCGGTGGACTTGTCGGCCCGGGTATCATGCTTGCGGGGCGCGGAGGGCCTGTGGCATCCGCGGACGAGCGGTAGTATGGTGGCGGCGGTGATGTAGGATAGGCCGGCTCCGGTGGGAGGCCATGTTGCACGCGGACGACGCGGTAGGCGATTGCAAGGAACGGGCGGAAGAGGGGGTGCAACCATGCCTTCACGGCTTCGAGGCCTTGGTCAAGATAGAGTCCACCGACGAAGGACTGTACCAAGTTAGGCCCCATCGCTCTGCGAAAGCGTGAGTGCGCTCACCTCGAACAGGTCGGCTGTTGCATGTCGTGAGTCAGGGTTTGCATGGGAGAGGTGTCGAAGGCTCCTACCTTGGATGTTGGCGGACGCCCTGAGGGTGATTGCCTGCGCAGGGTGCATGCGCAATCGCTCCGGTAAGCGGTACTGTACCGAGCTATGTATTCGAGGTGGTCAATTGGCGGGTTACCCTCCGGATCACGATCCTCACATCCATGCGAGCGTGGGGTTGCCCACCACCAGAGCCCGGATTTTCTGCATTGAGCATTGACTCAGCTTCTCGGAACAGAACAGGAAGATGCTACTACTCACCGTAGACGGACCAACGCGCAAACACGGATAAATCTCCCTCAAGAGTCCTGTAACTACCAGGTTCAGTACAGTGTCTCCCAAGTGCTCCAGCCTACAGAATCGATGGCGTCTCGTCATGAGCACATCAGGAGGCTTTAAGAAGGCACATACGACTCGTTGTCCGGACTGGGATCGTCCGGCATGTCCTCAAAGACGTGCGTGGGCCGGGCATAGAAGCTGCGATGGGTGAACACCTGGAGGCGCAGCGCCTCGGAACGTATTTCTGGCAGCGGGGGCAAGCCCTCCGGCAACTCTGGTCTGCCGAGGGTCGCGAGATGTGTTAGTGCCATATCATCTGAGTATTGACTTCCAAGGTAAAGCGTGTACCTCAGCGGGACGCGGCCATTAGGCAATGTAGGTCCTGTCGGCAGACCGTTTCCACTGCAATCACACCACACATGACGGTGAACAATCGGCGTTCTATATTGGGTGAGAGTCGAACGCGATACGCACTTTGCAGGCGATGCCATACCCGTATCTCGCTCGAAAGCACGAGCCTTGTGGCGGGGGCGTGCAGGAGGGTGGCGGCAGGCCTAGGCCGCGAACCGACTGGATATATACGAGAGCGCTACAAAAAGTATGCGGAGCTCTGTCGGACTCGTGGGGCACGGGAGCTGAGAGGGAATTGGTGCCGGAGGGTGGGAAGAGTGATGCAGATGTGCACCCGACCTCGAGAGGCGTTCACCGTTCCCACAGCGTGCAAAATCAATTAGAGGTCTCATTGGACGCACGAGAGCCAGGTCCAAGACGGGCTGACGGCTGTTCAGGGGAATAAATCAGACATGCACAGAGCTCTTGGATACGCCCATTCAGACTGAGCAAGACGATAGATAGCATTAAGTACATCAACTATAAACCACACGAAATCTCCAGGATATCTGGTCCACACATAGCCACAGAGCACTCAAGCCGCCGCGCTCGTCTGGAGTGATGGCGCAGTGCTAGCGGAGGGGGCCGATTCTTGAGTCTGTTCAGTAAGCGTCTTCTCCTTGAGCTGGAGTACATGTCAGGAAGGTGTGAAGACAAAACAGAGTGTGTGCATACCTTTCGCTCGGCGGCAGCCTTCATCTTGAAGTAGTCCACATGCAGGCCGCACTCGGTTTTATCAGCCTTGCCTGCCCACCTGCCGGCGCGCTCGCCCTGGTCGCCCTCTCCGCTCTTCACAGTGCTGTGCCAGTCGCCGACACTCCGGTATCCTTGGTCCAGCAGCTTGTTGCGCGGTACCTTGTTCTCGTCAATGTACCACTGCACGAACGGGAACGTCCAGGCGAAGAGGGGATTGAGCTTGAGCAGCCCGGTGCTGTCGACCTCCAGAGGCTGGAGGTTTGCACGGTCTGCTCCTTGCGAGGCGCGGCGGCCGGTGATCACAGCTTTCACTCCGAGCTCTTCGTATGCCCGGCGGGCAGGCTCCACCTAGATTGATGTGAGGATAAACGCAAAAGGTATGCTTAAGGGATATCGCGCGTACCTTCACAACGTAGTCGTATGTCGTCTCGTCCGTCTCCCAGAACTTCTGCCCGTACCTCTTCTCAAAGTCCTCTACGGTGTCGCAGCCCGCAGGCTTGTAGACATGGACGTCTCGATTGTATCGCATCTTTACTTCCTCCACGAGCTCATACGTCTCTGGGAAGTGGTACAAGGTGTCGATGAAGATCAGAGGCGGCGGGTTGGAGGTGATCTTGGAGAGCATGTCAATGGCGACGAGCCCCGTCAGTCCGAAGGCGGTTGTCTGGTACAGCCCAGGAATGTGGTCGACGGCCCACGCAAGAATTTGCTCCGGAGTCAGGTCGCGCAGATAGGCATTGATGCGGTCGAGCTCCTCTTGTGAGAGGGGAAGCTTGAGGGATTTGTCAAATGTCGGCTTGGACGCGTCGGAGGTGGAGGTCGGCATGGTGGAGGCTAGCAGAACTCAAGATACGCAAGAGTGAGGTGAGACAGAAGCGGAACGGAGTGTTTTGGTAGTCTCCGAGGGCGGACGGATTGAGTGTACTGTACAAGACGACATGGCGAGTGTCCGGAGCTATAAGACGGCACCGGGAGGAGGAATGGGCGTGCGGAGAGTGGTCGACCGACATCATCGCGTCCGGCCACTCCGCCGGCATGATTCAGCACACACCGCTCGGTCACGCTCAGCCGGTCCGTAGCCAATCGTCTCGAGGAAAATTCATGAAAGGGACCGACAGCATCACGCCCTTGGCAGCAGACATTTGGAATACCAGATGGTAGTCCAGGTGTAGTACAGGTGTTAGGGATCACACGTCTGACGGGATATCGGAGGCGTTGCAGCCACTCATATCTGTGCATTTACGGCACGACAGCAGTTCCATGAATCCAGGCATTGTTGCTTGGTTAATTGGATGATTCCAGTCGAGGCTATAGCTATAACTGCTCGATTCGGCTGAGAACCATCTACAGATCTTGTCACGAGAAATTCGACAGCTGAGTGGTATGGGTGACATTTCAAAGGTTGCGCTTCGTGGGGTTTTCTCGACGAAGACGCTAGGCCTGTGACAAGCTGTCAAACCGCTGTAAGTAACCCATGGCTTTGCAATGCAAGTGTACCTCTCGCCGTCTTCATTGCCAATATGAGTCCATGGGTGACAATGACGACGGTCTTCCGTTCACGATTGTAGCGGACACTGCGTCTGCAGGGATGATGTTGAAGCCAGCGTGTTGGTCTGGGAAACCCCCGAACTGAATCCCAACTTCATACTTCTCTCCGAGGTTCAAGGTTCAAGACTTGAAACTGGCGACATGGCGTAAAGTGTTCATCAGTATATCACGGCCGTGCAGTAGTAATTCAACCCTGCAATGCAGGCTCATGCCCGAAACCTGAACAGGACGTTGAACGCTCAGATTGCAAATTACCACCGGTCATCCAGCTCCTCAGCCCCACCCCTTGAGCGGCTTCTGTACTAGGAGAAACCTGAACAAGGGACGGGACAGCTATCACGTAGGTTGCCTGATTTCCTCCTAGCGACACACAACACCTGCGTAGGCAGGATACGAGCGACTCAGAGTCGGGTACGACACTCACCTAGGCTTGGTTCTGCGATATGGCCACGAGCCTCTCGGCCTTATTTCTCATTCCGGTATATGCGAGCCTTAGGCTTTCATCGTTTGCGGCTAGCAATCGACTAGCTGTGGACTGCCTTGTCTCTTGAGTATCAGTGCCCATGAACGGTCGTATGATGCGCTTCCACTCTCTACGATCAGGATTCCTCTGCCGTACAGAACCGGTGAATGTCGAGAATCTGAAAATGTACAAAGATATTGCATCATTCATGGGCTTCAAAGAATGAGAGTAGAGGAGATGGGACGTATAGCTTAGTACAAGCGAGTTCGTAACGTGAAGGGGGGAGAACTACTGTACATATGTGGGACGTCAGACGGTCCGCGTCAAGGTTATCACTGATAGGATTGATATCGACACACAAGCAGCAGGACTTTTACCGTCCACGTCCTCCGATAGCTCAGTTGGAACAGCGCAACACTGTAATGGGATCTTTTGTGATCTTGAGGCCGCTAGTTCGATCCTGGCTCGGAGGATTTTTCTGTCCCAACAGGACGGCCCGCAGAAGTCGAAGCGGAGAGTGGAAGGCAGGTACTGTATCCTTCTCACTCATACTGTATACTGTGAGTAAAGCGAACCACGCATGTCTCCCACGTGTCATATGTTTCGCAGAACAAAAAGGATCCATGATTCACAGTACCGAGCTAATCCTAGAGTACAGCATCCAAAGGGGAATATAAGTTACGAATTGTACGATACACCCATTACTTGCGCATTCTCTTCTTAAAGCGTTCCATGACCTAGATGCACGGTTATCAAGGCTCTCTAATGGTAAGTAGTGACGTCGCGAGACTCACAATCTCGTCTGTGGCCATTTGTGGTCGCTCAAGCGGTCGATGGACGTCGTGGTCCTCAGGATTCAGACCCATAGCCTCGAGCTTGGCGTCCCGCAAGATGTCTGCATCCGACTTCGCCTTGAGATTGGGCCTGTAGACTTCAGGCGTGCTCAGAGTCAATATGGTTCACTTTATACCAGAAAACTTAGATAGAACGTACACCGCGCGGCGGCAAGGTGGGCCTCGTCGTCCAACTTCCTCTGTCTCTCCTTCCGCTGCTCTGCAAGCATACGTTTGGCCTTCTCGGTCTCCTCAATATTCTTGAGTCGAGCGCTGCAACCGCCTGGTCATTCATATGTGCGCGGGGGAAAAAGAGACAGACGCACTCCATGCCCAAATCCACCTCCGGAATCGCGGTGAGCATGGCCAGACTGTTGGTCACACTGCCCTCTTCCTGTTCTTTCTTCTGCGTTGGCTGCTTGTACTTCTCCGTGATACGCAACACCTCCGCAAGCGGGTCGGTCTGCCCCTCCTCCTTCTTGGGCTCGTCCTTCGCGCCTCTCCGCAACTTCATGTTCTCCTCAATGTATGCCATCCTGAAGAATGGAGTTCAGCACACGACATTTCCTGGCAGAGAGAAACTGCACAGACATGTGTTTGTCGACGTCGAGAGTATTCGTCTGTTGCGTGAAATTGTTCGTCCGGACGACTTTTCTCGTCTTCGCGTCGGTATCCTCGCCTTCACTGCAGCGGAAACATGAAGATCTCCTGTGAGAATCCATAACGCATAGCCGCTTACTTGTCATCGTGGTCAACAGAGGCTCCAGGTCTGAGGCCTGCGACGACTTCCTCTTCCTTTGGCCGCTTCCGTTTCTTCTTCAGGTCTCCCTTCGACAACTTCGCCACGTCGATACCTTCCCGAGATTTCCTGAGCTTTCGCAGCTCAATGAGGTCTGCGATGCTGAACGAAGAATGCACATGAGATCCAAAGACACCGACGGACGAGATCAGCCACTGAGAACCTACTCTAGTTTCTCCTCCGCCTGTTCTTGGGAGATCTCGGCAGGGTAAAACTCCTCTTCTTCACGCTCAATGGATAGTTGACGGATCCTAGGCTGAGGTCGAGATCGTTTCCTAATCATGCTAGCAGACGGTATATCTCGGGGTATGGAGGTGGTAGTGACAGTACTGCAGTCGGAGCGCGTCCCTGCAGCCACCTCGGAGTTGATGCACCTACTCCGGGCTCGATCACGTGCGCCTTCACACCTTCAATAGACTATCATCGACGATGCCACGAACTCATGGAGTTATACATATGTATATAGACCAAGCTCCGGAGAAGCAGGGAATACATTGCAGAGATAGAGCTACAAGGAACTGCATCCAAGCCCGGTCAGAACCTAACTGTAGATCGAGAATCGAGAACTGGTGGTTCCGGACTATGTGCAAGAGTGGGCGCCGATGTCAGTCCTGCTGCATCGGAATCACCTGCAGGCAGCGGTCCAGCGGCAGTAGGCTGCAACGATGAGGAAGAAGGTACGGTCCCGGCCTCTTCGCCACCCGATGATGGTGCCAGGCTTGGCGAAGCGTCGTTTTGTGGTGCCAGCAATGACTCTGGGGGTCGCAGCCCACCGCGACGTAGTCGGGGAGCGACGACTGAAGGCCGCTCGGCTTCGTTCTCTCTTAAAGTCGATGGCAGCGTTGACGACGAGGGACTCTCAGGTTCCGCTGGGGTGGTCGTGGTTGTTAGGGAATACCAAAGCTGCGACGAGCTAGGGCTGCGAGTGCTGGAGGCGGTGCTGGCCGGTTCCTCGGCTGCGGCAGACCTCGAGCGCGCATGGCCTGCGGGACTGGCAGAGGTCGACGGAGCAGTGCGATACCGGGCACTGGACCAGGGTAACACGGGGTAATACGTATATCCACCATCCGAGTACGTTGACTCCGAAGTGTGAGTGGATGCCAACGGATTCGATCTCACGCTTGCCTCATTGACTGCTGGGTCCGCACGAGGGGCATCCTCCTGGGCGTTACTGTTCCTCATCGCCGATCGGCGGCGAGAAGTAAACTCGTTGAAGTCCATTGTGCGTGACCGCTGTGGACGACGAATGGAGGGTTGACGCGTGAGAGAAGAGCCCGGACCACCTGTGCTTGTGGGCCATATGGATCGCGCTGTGGGAGGAGACCGGGAGCGGGGGCTGCTGAATACCCAGCTGGAGCCGTTGGCGTCAACCGGAGCTGTGGGGAGTGGGGGAGGAGGAGCTGGATCTGTTCGGCGGGATAGCGATCCAGGGAGGTCGTCGGTCGAAGGGAAATACGCGTCATATAGTTCGGTGTTTATCCGTGTTCCTTCGAGAGGGCCAGAGGTGCTCAAGATAGTGCCGTACTCATCCTCTCCTTCGGACTCGGATAGGAGGTCGCGGAAGGTGCTGTACGAGCGTGGCGGCAAGATGGGAACGCCACGACGGGACCGGTCCCTAAGGCTACTAGCGCCGCGATAGATGTGCAGAGGTGCCGCCTGCAGACGTAAAGCCTTAGCAGTGCGTTCAGATATGAGACGGCGATCAATAGGGTTAGGCCGTGTCCTGCGTTCGGCCATTTCCTGCAGCAGCGGTGTGAGAGATCTACATGCCTGAGTCGGCCAAGCGCACACACCTTCACCAGCACATCTATCAAGGAGGTTGTAAACGAGTCCCCTTCATCCAGTTCCTCTACGAAGGCTTCATAAGATATTGATGGGCTTTCCCTCTCAGTGTTCATCCGCTTTACCGCGCCTTGGCTGTGAAGCCCATTGAGGATGGGGTACAGGCGTTGGAAGGGAAGACGGTACGCACACTAGATTCTTCATCTTGTTGCGAAGCACTTCATCATGGTGCTCAAGAGTCCTGTATACGTATAAGGCACTGAGCATGTCTACGGATGTTTTGCAGCAAAGTAGCACAGACCATTTGCCCATGGTGTCGATGAGAGAGATGGCGGCAGTAGTCAGAGTGCGGAACTGGGTGGCGATACCGCGGGCGAGCGCATAATCGGGATAAAGGCCCGGATTTCTCGCCCTTTGATTGGCCGATAATTGGAGATTAGTAATACCTTTGGCAGATAACCCCTTAGCAGAGGTATTGCTTGGCCCTGCGGCCACAACCTCGCCCCACGCTTCTTGTCCCGAACCGTCACCCCCTTCCTCGTCGACGCCCCTTCGCTGTCGTCCTAGCTGTCTCGCTTTGTTTTTCATAGCGGTAGGTAGCGAAATTTGTATCCATGCTCCGAATGATACGAGAGACAGAAAGTCAGCAAATCCGCCATTCGTGCGGATCACAGAAGAAGCCAGCAGCTCCAACTCTCGTGCCCTATCCACGCTCATTTTCCTGCTCGTCGACCTCTGTCGTACCCGTAGCCCACACTTGCCATGGCCTACTCTCAGCCGTTCCCCCTCGCGCAACCCGTGCAGAAAGTGCAACAACCGACGTTCGGTCCGGACCTTGCTGTCCGTCTCATTTGCCCTGAATGCAGAGACCCAAATCCGAACATCGTCGAGGAGTTCAGCAGCGGAGATCTTGTCTGTGGCACCTGTGGGCTAGTGTTGGGCGATAGGATCGTCGATACAAGGAGTGAGTGGCGGGTAAGTCACCTCACTCTGCATCAGACGCCTTTGTTCGAATTGCGGGCTGGTTCTTCTCTCACCATTCTAGACGTTTGCGAACGACGAGGGTGACGACCCTTCGCGTGTCGGTGCCGCTTCAGACCCTCTCATGGAGGGCATGGAGCAACTTGACACGACCATCTCCTTCAGAGACGGCGGATCTGGAATTGCGCGCGAGCTGCAGCGCGCAGCCTCTCGTTCCGCGGCTTCTCGTTCGGAGCGGAACTTGTTGCAGGCCTTCCGCGACATCTCCAGCTGGTGTGACCAGTTTTCTCTTCCCAAAACCATTTCCGATATTGCCAAACAACTTTACAAGCGATCGGACGAGGAGAAACTGCTCCGTGGGAAGCCACTTGACGCTGTAATCGCTGCGTGCATCTTCATTGCTTGCAGACAAGCCCATGTTCCCCGGACGTTCCGCGAGATTTGTAATCTCACGCACGTTAGCAAAAAGGTGCTCGGGCAGTGTTACAAAGCCCTTGAGCAGGCCTTCAACCTCACTCCTGGCGCGTCCCAGGACCGTCACCACAGTGCACCGAGCGGAACTACAGGCGCTGAGGATTTGCTGGTCCGCTACTGCAACCATCTCGATCTCCCTCCCAATGTTCAGCCTATCTGTGCGGACATCATCGTCAAGGCGCGCGAGCTCGGCATTGCCGATGGTCGTTCGCCCGTTTCGATCGCCGGCGGTGCCATCTACTTCACGTGTTGTCTCCTGGACAAGCCGAAGACTGTCAAGGAGATCAGCCAGGTCGCGGGAGTTAGTGAGGGCACGATCAAGTTGGTTTACAGACTCTACTACGCGGAGAAGGAGAAGTTGGTAAAAGAGGAGTGGATCAAGGACGGCAGGGCGAAGCTGGACAGACTTCCCGTGGAGAGTGGGTCGAAGTGAGGGATGGGTCGGCTGTACCATACCATGGGACTAATCCCCAAACATCGTGTGTATATGTATATGGAATGTCAATGACATTATGCCTTTATACATGCGAGTTATCTCCACGTGAAGCAAGAGCGATCTACAACAGAATGAGAAGGAAGGCGGTGCCGAACATGTATGGCAAAG